CAGCTCAGATTAAATTAGTTACCAAATATCCCATATCATCAACTGACTATCCGCTTTTTTGTTGCCGAATTAAATTTATAGGTGATTTTGCTTATATCACCGATAACTCTCTAATGGATCCCGGAATTATAGTTTACTCAAGAAGGCAAAATGTATCTTGGAAATTGCGAGATGCCTCAATGCGGCCGAATCCAAAAGCAATTCCATTCACTGTGGACGATGTCCTTTTTGACGCGTCCGTTCCTGTGGGTAAGTATTAATATTAGCTGCGATTGGAACACATCAGCGCAATGCTCTCAAATTAATAAAATTGTTAAAGGTATATACAAAAATATCGAAATACGTGCAATTTGGAGATCGAGGGATATTGCTATGAATTGTAAATATACGTTTCATACGGCTAAGTAAGCTAAAAAACGTAATTAAAAAAATATCATCCATACTTCAAGCCCGATTTTCTTGTCTAAAATTTCGTACTCTTTCAGCTTATGTTGAAAAAATTCAATAAATTAACCTTCCATATCAACCAAACCAATTTCGATCCCACCACTTCACTTCACATTATCTCCGTTGACATTTCTTATACGCGTAAATTCTAATTCTTTGTTCTGATTAAAACATTTTAGCTTGATTGATTGTTATAGTTTATGAATATTTCAGTGCTTTATTGAGGTTCGTTATGAACAACTTTCCATCAATCTCCAAAAATCTAAACTTACACCCGGCCACAAATCTTCTTTTGTTATGTAAAATGCCGCAATGATCCTTGCACCAAGAAATTATTGTAAATTAAACTACAACATAAAATATTTCATAATTAACCCAAATACATGAGAATTGATGCGATACTCAGAAGAATCCACTACTGCCCAAATGTAACGTTTAGCATAATAAAATTATTGATTTTTCTAAGTTAAACGCGCTAAAGGAAGAATACTTTTTGCAATTCGATGAATAATTGGTTGTTTCGTTGTCAGAGAAAACCCGTTTGTTTGTTTCAGATGGTATTGCGCTAACCCCTTATAGCCACAACGGTAAAAAACGTTTATACTACTGTGCCATGTCATCTTTCACAATTTATTCTATAAGCACAAGTGTTCTAAAAAATAAGCCATTAGTGACATCAGGCAAATGGAGAAGGCGGATTAGATCAGAAGGTGAAAAGAACAGTCAAAGCGATGGTAACTATTAATTTAATTAATTTAATGGGTGGTTTAATTGTGTTAGTTTGTAAATACTTGCTGATATTTTCCGAATGTTAGGCATTATGATCGATGAACTGTCCACCATGTATCTCACAATGCTCCCCTTTTCTGGGATCGCGTCATGGAAAACGGACCTACCCACCTCAACAATGCAATTAGTCTATACGAACAGAGAAACCATGGTATGGCCAGACGGTTTTGCATTCGACCAACAGGGGTTCTTGTATGTCATTTGCAACAAAGTTTTCAATTACATAGACTTGAAACGAACTCCCGTAATTTCCGGAGATACCCCTTTTAGGGTGTTAAAAACATTTACTGGTACCAGAAGTTATTTGTATAGATAAAGTATTGATGTGTGAACAGCTTTTTCAATATTAAAGCCGCTGCATGAGATTAAATCAGTGATGAATATTGATGCCGATTCCCCATTTGTTTGAGAGCTAAATCTAGAATGTGAACAAAATAGGGAAATTCAGTTACTTTTGTTTATGAACGGGAAGGAAAGAAACGAGACAAAGGGGAGGATATTATTTCTCCCATCTAATCTCCTTGCTTATAGGATTAACGTACTCGTTTCCCAAAGCTGGATCCCAACCACATTTTCTATAATGCTGATTGAAATAATGCTATTACTCACCCCTTATGTGATAAATCGCAATCGCGCCTTAGATTTTTTAACGTTGATATACTCTAAAATTGTCTTAGTTTGCATTTTAATACATTGAGCTTATTAAAACGGGAGGTTTTTATTAACATTTTCACCGTAACAGCTCTCGTGATACATTCCTATGGTGAGTTGAGAGAAATGTTACCTACGGTAATTAAGTACATATATGTTTTAAATATTGCCAGTTTTGCATTCGCTGAATGCTTCAGATCTTTACTTATTTGGAAAATTATGTTCAATTTTTCATCAGTTGCAAAGTTAATGAAGAATGTCGTAACTGTAGATCGATCCAAGAAAGTATACAAACCAATAAATGAACAACATCCCATACAATTTCGCATGAAAATAGAAGACAATCAACTGGTCTGTTTGGATGTGGTGGTCACAATAAGGTATACCGCTAAACAACAGATCAGCTTCCAACTCTCCAGCCGCCACGAAAAAAGGGCCTCAGACGAGGAAGCAGAAAGATTAAGCCGAATCGAAACAACCATCAGGTGCTTTTCCTCAGAGCAGATATTTTCGGATATATATTAAATGATTGTAAATCAGATGTTATGTTATGACGAAACGTTGATCAGTAGTTTCATGTTTCGGGGCCTTCAGAAAAAATCGATTACTTAAAGGATATTAGTTTTATTTGGGACAACGGTGAAGTATAAAATCCTTCCATAAAGACAATGAATACAAAAGTAACGAGCTGATTTGATCCATCAATTCTTGGATTAACTTTTCTATCGTGCTTCTCCTGATAGAATCAAAAAGAAGTAATCCAATGTCTTAGTAGTGTAATCGACCGAATATAAAAAAACTGCTAGATAATTAACTGTCGGTTTCTGACACACAGGTATTCATCAAAAATTCAATCTCTCGATAGCTAAATATTATCTGGTCTATTTCCCTGAATTTTCTCTCCAATTTGGATTTGTATGTAGTTAAATTATATAAGACGTTTAGGCACTCTTCATGCAGTAATTAATTAAATAAAAAATTTGTTTCCCTGTAAGTAAGAAATGAATAGAAATTTGCAATATTATGCTCACTATACATACCTACATCAAAATTTTTGTGTTGATTTGTTTTAAAATAGTCATGAATCTCTTACTTAAGAATCAAGAGATAACTGTATTGAAGTTCGCAAAGATCAGCTTTATTCTTAATTAAATAATTACTTGGCTGATAAATTGCATATTTTTGTTTCGTCTAAAATTGCTATATGCCCATATTGTAATGAGTCCGTTTGAGCCAGGCGCTGTACGAACAAAAGTGGTTATTGATATTGATAGACGCCTCACAAGTAGTCTGATCAACTGAAATCAAGTTAAGCTTTCAGATTGTCCATCCAAAGATGCCATTGTTGCCAATCTAACAGTTGGCACACATTAATTTTCACACATTTTTGCACAGAACAAATCTCCTGCCGCTCTAAAATTGTGTGAACAAACGTCATCTTGCCAGACACTTGCATTCTGCAGGTTTATTCACTTTATGGAAATCAGTTAACTGCTGGAAAACTTCTGAAATGTTAACGCTACTTGATGTGTCCGGATTTAAATTGTAAAAATATGTTAAAAATGTTTTTGTCTTTGGCGCAGAACACAATTAACATCTCGAATTTGAACTCTAATGCGTCTAAAATGAAAATGGCTTCTTAAGAAATCTTAAGTTTAACTTTTACCTCTCGTTTTAAAGCCGTTGTTCTAGAGATGACACATCAAATAAAATAGTTCGTTTGGTGGTTATCCAACCGTATTGTTCTATGAATAACATAACTGTTGCTGATAATTTAAAATGGAATTTAGACTATAAGCTGTATACCTGGCTGGTAACATAATTGTTTAATAAAATAATTACGTTAGTTAAGAATAACTTAGAATGTTACTCAAATTGCTTTCATTTTAGAAGCTAATCAATTTTTGCCTACTACATTTTACATCAACAGTTAATGCCTTATCGTGCTTGCACTACATTCAAGCTGCTTTTGAGGTACCTTTGAGATTAAACATAAATCTGATTTTGCGAAATGAATGTAATATATAAGAAATAAGAGTAAATACAGTGAAAACATAAAGAAAGCGGTTAAAGCAGAACATTTTTAATCGGAAAAAGCCGTTATTATAAATACAGCTTATATAACCACCTCAATTAATAAACTTCGAAAGACCAATTCACCATCTCTATATTGAGTTGCTGTTCTAATGTAGTCATAATCCATACTGCATTTAGTATTCATTATTACTCATCATCTACTCAGAGAGAAATTCTTCTTAGTAAAAAATGGACTGCTCCTAGACGTATAAAAGTATATTTTCAAGTGCTCGCTCCGTATAAGCTGCTAATAATATATCGCATATATTTAAAATAGATAAAAACCGTAAAAATGTCCAGCATAAATGTTATAGAGGCCCAGCGGCCATGAATAAAATTGAAATGTTTCTTTAAAACTGATATTTGGATACACAAAGAATACTAAGTTATGTAGGCATGCCGTTTTCGGCGAACTCCTAAGTCTGCTTTGTGAATTTCATCTGGAAATTATTGACAACTACTAAAGTACCTCCTGATAGTCACCGTGAAAGAGAATATTTCTATATTACGAGCGTACGTATGTGAAACTAGCATGTTCCGGAGTAATATTTCTCTGACAACATACAGACTCGCAATAAAGAGACAGTTCATGTATAGTTAGGAAATTGAACATATATAAATTTTGCGTTTTGAGATTTAAATTCGATTTTCCTTTTATGACTTGAAAATTGAAATCAAATAATGTTACAGGGAATTCCAAAAACATAGTGAGCTGAGTTAATAATAAGCCACTTTTATTACATGAAGATTTAGAAGATATTGCAACCAACTTCTATAGTTCATTTTACGTTTTCTTAGTAAGGACACGATTACCTTATCATAGGACTACTTTATCTTAGAAGGAATAGGAAAACATGTATAAAGTATAAAAAAAATTACCTTGATTCCTTGATTTGTTTACAATCTGCCCTGAGAACAATCAGTAAATTTTTCACTTATTTACAGATATTGAAATTGAGTGAATAATAGAAAGAAACTGTATTTATTTTATATTTAGTTGAACAAGTTTTTGTGTCCCTTAAAACGAGGAACATTACTTTATTACATGCGTATTATTTAGCGAGTCTTTTGCTTTTTATTAAATTTTTTATTTGGATGTGCTGATAATCTATTTTTGTAATGCTTGAAGTGGTTGCTTATTTCTTCTTTCACTGTAGTTATTTGAATGTATTTTCTGACGATTTCATTGGGTATAAACCAAAGTGCTGCTACAATGTTTTTTAGTGTTTTGGATTCAAAACTTTCTATTATTGATATGTTTGAGTCTGCTGCCGAGCTGCATAATAGAATTGGAATCCATAAGTCCAGATCGGTTTCAGTATGCATCTGTAAATTAAAAGTTGCTCTCGAGAGCAACTCAGCAAGAATATTAAAAATAATCGACATTTGCTTCATTAAATATATGAAACTCATACAGATAGATGTGCGAAAATCGATTGACCTAATTATACATATAAGGTTTTTGATTGCAAACTACACTGCAATATGTAGATATACATTTGTTTCCCACCACAAATTATTGCAGGAACGTGGAAAAACATTCAAACCTTCGCATATTGTGTTACTCCAATTATTTTTTTCCAAATGAACCTCATTACACATTTTCCATAAATCCGCAGCAATACGAACATGAACTTACTGTGCATGGCTGAACTTTTTTGACGTAAATTAAGCGGAGAACTTTTTAAAAGTAATTAGTGCTTTGCCTGAACCGTCACTTGCATAATTAGAATAACGTCACGTAGCGCTATATCCTAGATTTAATTTTAGTTTAGAGCCTCATGAGAGAAGTAGTTTTCTTAAAGCTCCTTGCTTGAGTGCCTTAAAAACTGAGTTGTGGTAAATTGTATATGTACCTTGAGGATGGTTAGAGTTATAAGTAGGATACATGTGAAGTGCGTTCACATGAAACCACACATGGCATTAATGCTTGTGACGGCTCTTATTAAAGCAAATTTAATGTTAGTTCTTAGTTGCATAATGAGCGTTTCATTGGCAGCTTACGTGGCGTCTTATGAACATTCAAATATGTAAGAGAACATATCTCTTCAATGCTGAAGTTTCTATTTAAATTAGACTGTAAAAAGCAGGTTGACCATACTGGCTGATTTGTAATTGTACCTTTTCGAGTATTTTAGTCTTTATTTGGTCCTAGGAAAATTAAGCGCTGTGGTGCAATTTATTAGAGAAAATTTGAGAACCCCCCAAATCCTGATTAGTTATTTACACTTTATGGGTTTAGTGGAGGTTTCCGTTACAGATTACAACTAGTCTGTTGTGAGCGTGTTTGGCAGGAAATTCCAATTTTTCCATGAGCTCGCTGAGTTCTTTTTAGTGGAATTTTTGTCTCATTATTTAGTAACTGCATTTTTGAGCGAAGTATTATCGCGTTTCAAATTTAGTGTTGAGCAAATATTCTCAGTTCAAGCACTACAAGCACCGCATTTTCTTTAAAATTACGGGTTTTGTCAGATTTGAGAGGTTTGTGTAATGTTGTGGAACTTGTGGCAGGTTATTGAGAAGGCGAAACTCAAAACAATTGTTCTTTCGCTCACTTTTTCCGTACGATTAGATTTGCAGGGACATTTTTCTTCAAACATCTCTTTGCTCATTTGCCACATTTCAATGCAATGGCGACTAATC